TTTACCCTCCGTTGGTGTCCGTTAAATTATATTAATATCATGAAAAATCACAAATTGGTAAACTTGTGACAAACAGAGGGGTAAAACCCCAAACTGGTACACCCATCAACTACCACGTGTCATCAAACTTAGCAATTTGAAGGTAAAATTTAACGGAAACTAACAGAGGGTAAATTTGTCACAGGTGTACCAATTTGGGGTTTTTTGTGATAAAAAAATTAGTCCAGGTAAAATTTTCACAGGTGTACCAGTGGAGAGTTTTTTGTGGTCAAAAAAATAGTTCTGGGTAAAATTATCAAAGGTCAGTTTGGGATAAATTTGTCACAGGTGTACTAGTTTGAGGTTTTTCGTGGTATTAACCATAATTCATATATATGAGGAAATATTGGATACTTGTAGAGTAACTTTTTGCACCTTTACAGCCTTCACAACTATCAAATTAAAAATAAAAATAAAAAGACTATTAGGGCATACTAGGATACATGCAAAGGTCTACAAGGGGTGACTGAAATTAGAGTAATTATAGCATACATTGGTGATGTAAAAAAAATTTCTCAAAAGGTCATATCCATCCTTGACTTTTTTTTTTTTTTGGGTCAAGGAATGGGCTATCCATCCTTGACTTCACGGTCATCGAAAGAGTGAGCAATTGAAATCCTCAAATTAAGAGATGATTTAGACCGCTTGTTCAAAACTTTCTTTGTACTTGTGATGTATGTTCTAACTTTTCTTATAAAAGAAAAGCTTCTACTAGTAGCATCATTCGCTCTTGATTTAATTTGATGGTTAATTATAGAGTGGTGAAATCCTCAAATTAAGAGATGATTTAGACCGCTTGTTCAAAACTTTCTTTGTACTTGTGATGTATGTTCTAACTTTTCTTATAAAAGAAAAGCTTCTACAAGTAGCATCATTCACTCTTGATTTAATTTGATGGTTAATTATAGAGTGGACAGTTGAAACTAGACATGGCCACGGTTCAGGAACCGGCAGTTCCGGTTTGTGGCCATGTATGAACCGGAACCGGAACCACAAGGGGCGGTTTCGGTTCCGGTTCGGAACCGGCGGTTCCGGTTCGTAATTTAAAAATTAATAAAATAAATTATAAAATAAAAATTGCAGGCCTGGTCCTCCGTCGGTCGTCGCTCGGGGTTCGCGGCCTTGGCCACGGTGGCGGAGGCGAGGTTCAAGGTGGCGAGGAGATGAAGCGGGAGACGGGGGCGGCGGCGAGGGGGAGAAGGACTGGGACGGGGACGGGGACGGGGACGGGGAGGAGGAGCGGGGGGTCCTCCTCCTCCAGGGGCTGGGCGGGGTCGTGAGGAGGGGAGGAGGAGGGGGCATCGGCGTCGGCGTCGGCGTCGGCAGCTGCGGCCATGGACGGCGGCGGCGGCGGCGGCGGCGGTCAGATCTAGGGAGACGGGGGGCAGGCGGAGGAGAAAAGGGAAGGAGGCGCAGGGTAGCGAGGGGGGAGGAGGAGGGGGCATCGGCGTTGGCGGCTGCGGCCATGGGCGGGGGCGACGGCGGCGGGGATCAGATCTGGGAAGACGGGGGGCGGGCGGAGGAGAAAAGGGGAAGACCGGAGGAAGCGCAGGGGAGAGGGGGGAAGGAGGGATTTGGAGGAGGAGGACTGGAGATGGGGGTGGGAACGTGGGGGTGGGGCTGCTGTGCAGCAGCAGGTTTTTTCTTTTATTATTATTTTTTTTGGAATCCGAACCGGGCCCGTAGGCCACGGCCGGTTCCGGTTCCGAACCGCGGGCCCGATCAACGGGCCGGTCCCGGGTTTGACCCGGGCCGGTTCCGGGCCAAAATCGGCCCGTGGCCATGACTAGTTGAAACCCTCAAAGCAAGAGAAGATTAGGCCATTCGTATAGAACTTTCTTTGAACCGAAAGTGTATATTCTAATTTTATGAAATTATACCTTAAATATCAAAAACCCTAAAACTTTCCCCTATTTAATACCTCCAAGGCTACATCGCTCCAAAAAAGGAAATTGTGGCCTCTTTTGATCGTCTGACCGGTCAAATAGTGGGGTAAACGATGCAAAGCTAATATGATTCTTCGGATTGCCAAAGGTAAAAGCGGATGCAAAGTAAAAAGATGTGGATGGGGTTAAACGAATCATTTTAGTGTCTTTTTACTTTCTCTTTCTTTCTATTGTCATTGAATTCATTTGTCATGTCAATATATTAGCACATATTGTTTTAAAAATTAGAGTTAATACCATGAAAAATCCCAAACTGGTATATCTATAATAAATTTACCTCAAATTAATTTTTTTAACCACGAAAAACCCTCAAACCAGTACACCTGTGACAAATTTACCCTGTGTTAGTTTCCATTGAATTTACCGTCAAATTGCTTAGTTGGATGACACGTGGGAGTTGATGGATATACCAGTTTGAGGTTTTACCCTCCATTTATCACAGTTGTACTGGTTTGTGATTTTTCGTGATATTAATCTAATTTAACGGAAACTAACGAGGGTAAATTTGTCACAGGTATATCAATTTGAGGTTTTTTGTGGTCAAAAAATAAATTTTGGATAAATTTGTCACAAGTGTACTGATTTGGAGTTTTTGTGGTATTAACCCAAATTATGCTACTAGAAACCGCCCTATAGTTACATGTGAAGGCAGATAAAACAAGAGAAAGTCTCAATTAAGTCAAAGGCTTTTGACAAACCTAAACATGGAGACACTAGCCACAATGAGAAGACCAAACCAACTCTCAACTTTTGCTTCAATGTGTCCAAAAGCTTTATGGGTTGTCAAAGTTCTAATCGATCGTAGATTTGTCGAACTCCATACATAGTAACCTTCTGATATCGATTGAATGATCATATATACGACATCATCTTTATTGGCGTAATTTAGATCCACGAAATGAAACCAAGGACGTTAGATTAAAGTAACATCAAACAAGATAACATATCTTAAAGATTTGACACGATCGATATTACTCAAGAGTTTTTGAAGTATTCCACTATTTGGGTAATCTGGGGCTTCTCTCACCCCAAAAGCTAGATCAAAGAATGAGATTTTCCCTCACATTTATAAATTGACCACCATCCCCTTCGATAATTGATGTAGGATAAGCCCCAACAATCCACCTCACACATTGTGCTCTAGGTCCAGACTAATGTTGGGTTGCCTTGGGTCTCTCTCACCCCAAAAGTTAGCTCAAAAGGTGAGACTTTGTCTCACATGTATACACTGGCCACCATCCCCTTCCACAACCGATATGAGATAAATCCCAACATCCACAAAATAAGAACTTAGCACACTTGTTGTTTTGACGAGCCATAACTCCTGATCCAAGAAGAGTTATGAAGATCATAAGAATAATTTGGAAAGCTTGTTCAAGCACGATGTTTTGGTCCAAGTGGAGAGCGATGGGAGCAAGCTCATTTTTCACCTCAACCAGTTGTAGTTTGAATTCGGACCATCAAAGTTTACCGTCTCAATTAATTTACTATTTTTTCAAGGAAAATGTGAAGAATACCTTTTACCAATGATCACTTACATATCTTTACTTTTGAAAATACATAAATACACAAATGAGTTTTATCTTTGAAAACCACTTTGCTCTGTACATCAATTATCCTGGTGTGCCTATTCATGAAAATGACATTTTCTTTTCAACAATGTCCATCTCCCAAACCCTAAATTCTTAAACCCATCCAAAACACTCAAAATTAACCAAAAACCAAACCATCCAAACCCTATGCAATGCGAGATGCTGAGAATGAGCTTGCAAGGAGAGCAAATATTTAGTATTCTCAATATGGGGTTTTGCTTAGAGGTACATGAACGATCTTTACAAAGTTAGAGGTATGTAAGTTATTTGCCGGGTCATAAAGGGATATGGCTTTGGTATTTTGCCTTACTCCCTTATCTTCAAGTTTTATTTTGTTAGGGTTTTTGGGTTGACAACGTTAACCCAAAAGCAAAACATCAATCCTATCAATTTAAATCGTTTTACTCTTCAGCTAGATGGCAAAAAGCAAAACATCAATCCTATCAATCCAACTAATTGAGAGTTTTTTCTACATTTGCTTACTGTTCGAGGTCTGGCGAACTTGATCCATGGTTTTACTCGATTTCATCTGAGAGCACAACGACCAGCATATCTTTAGCTTTACCATATCCTTTTGAAGTTGCAGACTTCATCTGGTTTATATTAATTTTACGTCAACCTGGACGCTGTTGACCAATAAAAAGTAACCGTAATAATCTATTCCATTAATCAATAAAAAAAGAGACCAATTTCGGATATTTTTATCAGCTGCAACTAGTGCAGCTCTTCTTCTTGAATAAAATTAACATACCCCAATATAATGTATACGGGCATAAACTCCTCCAATCATCACAATCCAACAATATAATAAAGCAAGTACAAGAACATCAGTCTAGCGACAAGAATATGACATTAAAGTATGTGCTAGACAAAACATCTTATCATATCAAGACCAAGAAGTTCCTGTCTGGAAAAAAAATGGCTGCTTGCATTAATGCTACATCATATTGTTGCCAAATTGGATATCTTGTTCTTCTCCAGACCGACTTTTTATATTGTAAACTTGTGGCTACAAACCCAGCAACTTTGAACCGATCAGTGTTGACATCTAACCCAACCTTTTTTGACCCACGCTTGAAATCTTCAGACCTGCAAAAGTCTTTGGTCCTCCTTTCAAGTCTAATGCAATCAATCCTCTGGGTAAAGTTAGATGCAAGCTTAGAGGGGACATAATGAGTGAACAAATCAATAAGAACAGAATCAAAACCTTACTCGAATTTTTCTTTTCTTTTACTTCGGATGAAGACCCTCACTCATCAAGTTCTTTTCTTTTACTTCAGATGAAGACCCTCACTCATCAAGTTCACTCATTCACCGATTTGTTTAATCAACTCAAACGAAGGGATGGTTAACCAATTTGTTAATCAACTCGACCAAAGAAAAGATTACTAAAGAACACTTAGCTAGAGCAAAAAAGGGTTGATTTGAAATCAGAATTAGGAGGACACTAATCCTACCTTTATTGCAACACAAAGAAACCAAAACAGAGAGAGAAGTATCATATACACAGCGATGAGTTTACTCTCTCTCTCTCCCTTCTCTTCACATCTCTCCTATCAGATGAGATCATACCTAAAACCCAATTCACATCTACTACAGCCATTCGATGTGGTGGGATTTATTTAGAATGGTGGACGAACATGAGCCCAAGCATGAGCATCTTGATTGGTGTGAGTACCATGAACATGGAAATTCGGAGGCAAATTATATAACAGCAGCGTCGAGGGATCGGCTGCTAGCCCCTGCTGAGACTGGTTGTTTCCGCTGCTTATGGCCGTGGGTGGTGAGCTTCCTGATCCAGAAAGCTGGCCTTGCCCACCACCATTAGCAGTGTTGCCATCTTCTTCTTCATCGAGAGGCAATCGCTCATAGGTGGCATTTGCGAACGTTGCCCCGATCACCATCACAGGCCCGGCTGCGACAAGCGACCCAACTACGCTGCCGCCAACCACCTGACCCTGACCTCCTGCCAAGTACACAGTTAACCCGGTGGAGCCCGGCGGCGAAGGGCCGGGCAGAAACGTGCCCATCAGCGATAGGATCTCGAATCTCCCATGTAAGGCCACCACTGCGCCAGGAGCTGCCGGTTGTCTCAAGGTTACATTTGCAACTGTGCCACTCCCGCTGAGCACGCAGACCCCTCTCTGGCGGCGGCGCGCAAATTGGGCAAGGCACTCCGCAACGTCAGCACCGCTGGCCACCTCCATCACATGGCTCTTCATCGAATTAGGGCTGTCGCGAGTCACGAAGATCGGTGGTTTTGGCTTGTTCTTGGATCCTGGTGGCCGTCCCCTCGGCCTGCGGGTGCCAACCTCCACAGCTCCCTCCTTAGGCTCGTCGCCATCATCATCATCATCTCCTCGGCTCGCGCTTTTGTCACCGTTCTCGCACGCGGATAGCTCCAGATCGTGCTTGCTCAACACCGGCGAATTACTGGCCACTTCAAGGGCCGGTAACCCTATTTGCCCTGTCCACCAAGGAGTAGCCAGGCTTGCAAATCTTCCTTTCTGCCGAGGGAAGAAAATTAAACCAAATTAAAATTGGATTATCCTCTTTGCAGAGAGTCAAACTCAAAACCCGTCTCTTTGTTTGCTTTTCACTCTTGTTCCGGAATCTTAGATCAACTGTTCATGATCTATTCTGTTGAAGTAAAGAAAGAGAGTAGAAGTTTGTATGGTGAGAGAATTAGATTCAAGAAATAGCATAATGGAATCGAGTAAAGAGAGGAAAGAGAAAAGAGCACTTTTGCGAGGGGAAGAGAAGATTTATGCAATTAGAAGATCTATTGGAGATTATCAAAGTGGTGATCTCAGTGGGTATTAAGAAAAAAAAAACAAGGGACATATGCAAAACCCTTGTAGTATCAATCACAGAGAACGAAAGAACAAGAAAAGCAACTGGAAATTAAACAGTGAGTGATTAGGGAGAAATGACTCGAGAGAATAGTGAACTATATGTCCTATTATTTTCAGTATTTTTTCATCTCATGTCTTGTTTATATAATACTGTCTCTCTGTTATGTTCATTTCATCCTTCCTATATATTCTTCTCTTCTTTTGGAGGGTCTTGGAAATTAGGGTTTCCTGTAGGGTCGCGTGCTAGAGCAGGTGGGAAGCAAGTCCTTTTCTTGAGCCCCCACTTTTGAACGAGAGAGAGAGAGAGAGAGAGAGAGAGAGAGAGCACATTGCAAGTACTAGTGCTACCAATTTGTATCTTTTTTTCTTTTTTTTAATTATGAGGTACACAAGATTTTCAGAGCACTCAACTGATCCGTTTGGCTATCACCCAGTCACAAACCACTTAAATCACGGGAATGCGCAGACAGCTCTATTTCAAAGAACGTCACAAATGTGGCCACTCAAACACAGGTCTTGAACGAGTAAAGTCGAATATCCTTACCAATTTTTGGCCAAAAAAAAGTTGCTCATATTCTTTGCATGCCCTTCTTTTGCAAGTTCGGATCACAGGAAATTCAAGAGATAGATCTTTGCCCCCATTTTTGGCATGTTGGAAGGTCTTTCCCTAAATGGACTCTACCTGTACTTTGAGTTGAAGTGAAATTGAACTTTTTATTATTTATTTTCTATCCGTTGGCTTGTGCCTTTGTATTGTCTTTCGGAGATAAAAAGACGTAACCTTCGCGACAGAAAGTCTAGGGGCGTTTTGTTGGCAGACAGCTTTGGAAGTGAGCGAACTACCCAAGGCCTACCACGAAAATCTTTACCTTTGTCGAGTATCGAAATTAGAGAACCTGCACACAAGCATGGGGCGACTTCTTTTCCTTCGTCACCAATTCATTCAAAATTGTTGTATAGAATATGAGACCGAACCAAGAACATTTCAAGAAGAGTAGGATCACACGCTACGATTGGTTTTCTTCATCTCGTATAAGCATGTAATTCTTTCCATTCTTCACCTATTGTAACTGATTTATTTTGCAACTGGACAAAGGAAAGATAAATGAATGTGTAGTCCCTCGTGTTTCCTCAGTCTCGGCATTAAATTTGCGATATTGTATCTTGAAGTTGAATGCGCACAATTTATTCCGAAAGATGAACCGGACGGCATGAATAGCGTGCATTCATAAACACCTTCCGTTTAAAGGCAGGCAAGACGACAAAAGCTAAAAGCGAGGAACTCAACACATATGACTTACACATGAAAGAATGGCTCGAGGTCATATCTCCAAAACATATATATGAAGCAATGTGACAAAGGAGAACGCGTGGAATCGAATTTAGAAATCTTGGATTCCAATACCATTTGAAAAGATTTACAACCTAAAAGCCTAAGCATTAGTAAAAGTTTGCTCGTTTTATTTTTCGTACAAACATCTTAGTTCTTAAGGTACTTGTATTAACTTGATTAGTGGATTATAAATGGACATCAACGCATCCAACCCATTTTGGGGGAAGATCAGGAATTTGAAGAAAATAATGCCACCATGGGGTCTCAAAGTCAAGTCGCAACGTCAAGTAGTTATCTCCACTTAATCATTGGTTGCAGAGTGGAAACAAAGTTAGCAGTAAGACAAAAAGAGACAGTGACTTACGCAAATTTCAAACTAGTTGTCAACTGAAGGATAAGCCCTCATCCCCTTCAAACATGCACAGCCGAGGCAGGACGAAAAGGAAGGGTGGAACGATGATCCATTCAACACCTAACCCTCCAAAATGAGAACCAAACTCTTCTTCCTTGATTTCATTTGGGAGGTGATTCAGTGATTTGTATACCATCAGCGATTTGTATACCATCAGCCTAGACCTATCATGCATTATAAAGAGAATGAAACCTCATTTCTCTGTTCCATTTTTTTTTTTTTTGGTCATATGGTGAAACCTCATTTCGATTGGTATTTTTCTTGAGCAAATATACTGAATTAGAAGACAGTCAGTGGCTTTCACTTGCTGCAACAAAGCAGATCGAGTTCAGTTCAACCAAGAAGCAAGAGACCCAGAAACAAAGTAGATATTCCCAAGTGTATTCCAGTTAAGATATCCTTGGAATCATTACACATCTTTGGGGAAAAGAAAATGGTAAAGGTCCTGCCCGAGAACATTATGGCATTGGAAGAGGGTTAGGTGTATGCAGCCTCCCTCAACTTGTTATGTTTTCGTAACTTGAACCCGCGACCTCCGGATCACATGGAGTAACCTTAGCGTTTCATCAAAGCTTTTGCCCTCGAAATTACAGTGAAAGCTAAAAGTTCAAAATTTAGACTGTATTATAGATGTCCATAATCGAAATTCAGAAGTAATTACTACATACAAAAATTATTTAGGAAAAATTTTAAAAAAAATTGAAAATTTTAAGAAAGGGGATGAGTGGAAAGAGACTTGTTAGCAAGTGCTCTTGAGACACTTGTTAAATATACTTAATGAGAATATATTTGATTTCAAAGAACTAATTGCAATGTGCATATCACGAGAACGATCAGTGAATTAGAAAATGCAATGTTGTCTTATTTGGTTATTTAACAAATGCCCTGGTGGCACTCTTCAATAAAATCCTTTCGATAATCCATGGATTTTCAATCAAAGTTCTAAATCATCCTTGTTATTTTATCGGTTTCAAGAAATTCTATACTTTCTAAAAGGCTCGAGGGCTAGTTAAGGGGCGAAAGGGTTCAAAGGAAAGACCTTTTCTGGTCCCCCAGAGCCGGGGGTTGTGTGATAAGGTTTTACCCGAGGACGGTTGCTACTTGGACTTACGGCAAATCCTTTTCTGGTGATGGATTTGACTGGCCTGGACACAACGGCGTTCGTTTTGCCATTGATTAGGCTTTTATATTAGAAAAAGAAAATGTTTAAAATAGTTCTTGTAATTTCCTATAATAAAAAATAAAAAAAAACTCGGATGAGGCCCCTGAAATTTGTATTCCATTCATTCAAATGACTATTTCAAAGTCCACATCGAAATTTCGATGAAGGAACATGGAAGCACGTTCCCGATTTTGAATATGCAGTGAGAACACAAGACCCGGTGTAGCCACTCTCCCTTTGATGTTGGGAAGAAGATATTGCTATGGCAGAAATACATGCCATCCACGTTCGTTTTGCTCTTCTTCTTGTCACACTAGCATTAAGACAACACGTCGTGACGAGAAGCAAGAAAGATAATTTGATAGTGTTCATTTTCATAAAAAGAAAATATGCACGTGTATATTTGTAACCATCAATTTTACAATTGTCACCGTCAAAAAAGCTGTTATTTTCGCACTATTTATGGAAATGAAACAGTAAAACTATTGCTACCGATGAATTGAATAAGGTACCATCGTTAGTCGAGTTAGATGAAAAAATTGGCCAAATATTTCTTGCTCCTATGTCTTTTCGATGATAAACATCGTTGAATACCAGAAAAAGTACTAAATGAGAATTGAAGAAAAGAAAAGAAAACGTAGGGAAATTTTGATGTAGTAGGTTAATATAAGGATATGTGAGTCGGAGCAATGAAACAAGCTAAAGGGATTATAGTGCACAATAATCACCAATTCTAACTAAAGGGATCATAGTGCACAATAATCAACAACGACGCAAGGAATTAAAAAATCCGCAGGATAATTATGTAAAAGGAGTGAAATAAGAGGGGCTAAATTGAAGAAAACGGGGACAAGTTGAGGAGAAGACAGACTAAGGCTCCCACTCAAATGGTGCCGGAAAGTCGAGGACACTACAAAGTCATCTGACATGATGCTCGAGGAACCGGGATGAAGTCCTGTTATACCTGTGAGCGCTCCTTGTCCATCTTAGTTGAATCAACTGCGCATAGAAAGGTATCTTCACAATCGCTTTCGCTCCTATTAAGCACCATGAAGTGGCAACGCGATTGATTTAGTGTCGCTTCAGCTATCGCACCGACAGCTGCAACTCTTTGACTTCGACTATCACCATGCAACTCTTACTATAGAATACCTTAACTTATCTAGAAAGTATGCTCTACCTTCTCGCACGTGTTAGTACGACATAGACTTGATGTCGTTAGCAGTTCACTTCGACACCAGTCAATGTAATTAGGAACCGACCGAAAGCTCCACTCCTCGGTATTTTTCTTTTCTAGAGACACAACTTGAGGTTGCCAATGCAATTCAATCGGCATTTACATGATTCTGTAGTTCATAACAATGTAGTGACAAGCTGGCCAGGAAATTGACTTAAGTTAAGCGGTTCTCTCCAGCATTCCATGCTACAGATTCAATTGAAGATAAAAAAGAACTCCTTAAATTAAAGGAAAAAAAACTTTCACCAGACATTGAGAGAGGAGGTTCAAAAGTTGTCCCCTCAACCATGCATGAAATATCCAAGAAACCTGTAAACCGAGGAGGAAGAACGATCAGTTTCAACGTCATACATCTATTAGCGGATGCGTATTGGGACATATCTCAATACATTCTCATGCTAATATTTACAGTTTTCAGCTGCTCTGCAAAAAATTGATGTCTTCACTTAGAAAGGCACAGTGTATTGATAAGGAAACTTCAATAACTAGAACCCATGATCACTATATGTAAGGTCCAAAAATTAAACCACACATATCTGAGGACACTGGCCTAGCCATAATAAGCCAATCACATTAAACAATCATATTGGACATAAACTGGTGCCTAACAAGGATGCATAATGATTAGCTACTATGCATAGTAGCCTAAATTTGCCCATAAATTCTCTTACTTTTATATCATGAAGATTTTGAAGAAATATTCTGCCAAGTTGAAAGGTACTCAACTACGACACCTTCCCACCAAGAGGAAATTTGATGAGGTAATTCCCCCGGTTCAAGTAAATGTGGCACTCAAACAGTACATAGTAGTCAGATTTGGTGATTTTACCTGATAAGGAAATATACTGCTAGAAAGGAAACCACAAAATACGACACAAGTTTGCACATCTGCTTGTTGGATTTCTTTTCAAAGACCTACGACAAAGCGGGCCCGTTATCTTTTAAGATCTACAAAGCCATAGAAAGGAAATAGAATCCAATAATTTACAGCAAACCAATCTAGAAGATATAACTCTGCAGTACCCTCTTAAATCGATCCATGGTTCCTGACATTACACCTCTTGATGAATCCATGCTCTTGCCCTATATTGAAGGGTCAAAACATTGACAGGTCAAATGCATGGTGCATAGATAGCTCAATCTAATGCACAAACAAATAAAGTGAGCATACCATTTGATCAAGAAAGCGATTATGACTTTCTACCTCCTCATGAATATCCCCTGTTAACTGCCAGTACAAAAGCACATAATGTTAGCACGCGCGCGCGCGTGAGAGAGAGAGAGAGAGAGAGAGAGAGAGAGAGAGAGAGAGAGAGAGAGATTCAGCAACTGCATTTTTCTTGTGAGACATTTTTGTGTATGTGAATTTTTGCAATAAACATGGGTATGCAGCATAAATGAGAAGTATAGATAATCGACCAAATTACACTGCTAACCAGTGTGAGATCCATCAATCTAAACAACAATGCCCTCAATAGACTTGGCAAACCTCATTGTTTAATTAGTAATACCCACCAAAAGAACAGTGAGTTGATCTCACACTATTTTAGGTGCCTTTTCCCAGACACCCGCACTGACCTAGTACAATATTATTGACAAGACATACTTTTTTAACATTCTTGTCCGTCCAATTCAATTCAATTCATATACAATGTAATTTGACTCAAAGTCATGAATTGATATGAGAAAGAATGGCGCGACTCAGTCTCAGTTCACACATAATGAATCATGACATACTCCGAAAAAGTTCGATCATGTGAGCCTATCATGATTTCAGTACTTGAGTTTTTAGCACTTAATTTTCAGTTTTACGAAACATGCCCTTAGTTTTCCTCTTATAATACTCAACATTGAGGCTATCACATATATCAAATTGCAGTTGCCTTAGCACAGCGGCACAGCCTCCATGACAAAGCTACATGGTCATATTGGTCAACGGTCGATGATAAAAAAGATAATCTAACTTTCCTCAAAAGTAGAGGTGACCAACAAATATCAACACCATCTGAGATACAAATATTCCTTAAAAAAAATTCCACTTTCATATCTCAAATAGCTTTCTAATAGTGCGTGTGCCAAGCAAGGAACTTCTGACGTAGGAAAAACCCAACAAGAGGCTCTGCTACTAATTGATGTGATTGGAGGACTAAAATATAGCAAAAATAACTAGAACTGAGTTGAATTGAAGCTATATCAGAGAATGTATTCTAAGATTTATAAAAACCAATGATGTTTATTGAATGAAAAAAACTAATGACAAAAGGGACTTAAAAGCCCTATTATACAGGGTTACCGATGGAAGATGCTCTCAACCCTTGATCTAAAATAACAATTTCTAATCTCAACCAACCAACCAACCTAATTAACATTCACATGACCACTTATAACCGTAAATTAATATGAGAAAAGACTAAATAAAGAAGAAAAACACTTAAAACTACTAAAATAGGATTACGATCCTACTTAAATAGGATTATGATCCCGCATCAACTCCCAACGCAACTTATCAAATGAATGTATACAAGTTCAAATTATTTCTTCTGCGAGGAAACTGAGATTCCCACTCACAAAGAAGTTATAGCACCACTCACCCATGCTCACCAACCATATACTGTACTTACTACCTAAACTACCATAGAATATACATCACAAATAAATCAAAGAAAGTACATATATAGACGGTTAGCAATATATTAATGAAGAGCTGCAACACAGCAGAAAAACTAGAGCAAAGAGAAGCTCAAATGAACTTACTCTTTTCAGGAAGATTACTCTATCCTCTAAACTGTCAACTGCTTTGTCATTGTCATGCTCATTAATCTGATGAGAGTAGGATGAGGAGGCTCTAAGGCCTTCCTCAAGACCATTGTAACCATCAAAAAGAGCCGCTTTAGCAGAACGGGGCTCCCTGTATCACCCGAAATGAAGCAATAGTTATTACAAAAGAGTTAAGGCTATCATTTCTCTCTTCATCTTTGTGAAATGTGCGAGGGTCATGGTATCTATGCATATCTAAGGACATTGCACAAGCATATGAGAGAGAGAGAGAGAGAGAGAGAGAGAGAGAGAGAGGTGGACCAAACAGGAAATCATTAAACCGGAAAGATGCTATTCTGAAAGTAAAGCAGTGGACTGTCGTGGGCACCACAAAGGGGATGGCAGAGTCTATAAAATACATTCTGAGAAAAAAGTAAGGAGATACACATGATTGTTAGTATCCAAAATCTCGTCTTTAGCTGTAGTTACACATTTCAATTTGTACACCAAAGTACCCAAAAAAACTGTAAACTACACAATATTGCTGCCCTACTCCATCCATTTATCTTGACGGAGTGGTAATAATAGAGTGTTTCGAGTTCAATGCAATACTAAGCAAAAGATCGAAGCAATAAACAATTCTGCTAAGTTTGTAGCACACATATCAGAGGTCAACTGTATGCACATCCTCCTACTCCCAATGCTTAGATGCAAATTCAAAAGATCCAAGAGTAGGAGGGTTATTAGCTTCTAGACGATCCAATCAACTTCTTTACAGCCAATAATAATCAGGATAAAATGTATACAGTAAAACCAAAACAAACCAAGTGCTAATGCAACAATTGGTAGTATAGTCATCAACCTCATGCTTCATCATTGTTGTTGTCATGGTTATGAAATGTAATAAGACATCCAACAGGAGATAGTATTTACGCATTAGTTACATTCCTCATTTTGTGAAGTCGAAAATCTAAAAAACTCTAAATCGTGACATATGGTGTAATGGTTACATAAGATACTTTCTCCCACGAGAGATCAGATGAACTTTTAACCAATCAGCAATCCAGCTTCAATTACAACACGAATCTACAATGGGAGTCCAGAACAAAAAGAGCGGTATGCCCATGTTCTGGCTCTGACTAAAGCGTGCATAAAATGAACGGTCTGATTCAGAAATCCAAAACTAAACTCAATCGTAAATATATAGCTCCCTCTTGAATAACAAATCTTGCAGCAGCAAAAATGTACTCCAAAGAAAAAAGATGTACCAAATGCCACATATCCATTCAATATAAGATAATTCAACTCCTTCACCAATTCATGGAGAGATTAACTCAAATTACAAACATCCTTCACGGAAAAAGATTTCAGCTCAGTAACAATCAATCAACTTCGGCACTGGCACCGTAAACCGAATTATCCGGGTACTCCCACAAGCCGAAGTCCTTTCAAAACTCAACTTTCACCAATCGAACTTTTAAAACTCCGAAATCGTTCCTGCGCGACATAAAGCCGTTTTCTTTTCCCGGCCAGCCTAATCCTTTTCTCTAGGTGCTCTTCCTAACTCGCTACATTTCTCTCGATTCAACATTCTCAATCAGTACAAGCACAACCTCGCATATCAAGAGCGCCCACAGAGCTCCAATTCCGATAGAGCCGAATCGCACACAGTCTCGCCACGCCAAAGGCCCTAGAAACGAGCAGCACATTCGCGGCACGATCAAACACTCGGTTCAGGAAAGCTACAATCGAAACGCGGAACTGAAGACCGACGGACCTTCTGTAATTCATCGCTCGGGGCGCACGATCGAACTTCGGCCACCTGCTCCGTTCTCTCCCTTCGCTCCTTCGAGAACCGCGGGGGAGGATCCACCGATCCCGACCGGATTTCGGAAAAAGGAGAGCGCGAGGAATGCGAAAGTCGGGAGGGAGGCGACCGCGATTCGGATCGAGGCTCGCTCGGCCCGAGCGCCGGAATGGATCGCCGGTGGAGACGGAGGCGGCGGCGGCGGCGGCGGAGGCGGATCCCGGCGCCGGGCGGGGAGAGATTCGAGCGGCGGAGATCTGCTGCTCCTGCGGAGGAGGACGATCGCGGGGATACTGTGTGGGGGGGGGGGGGGGGGGAAGAAACCGAAAATGGCGAATCGGGAAAAATGTACCGCCTTATAACTAAAACTGATCGAAGTGCCTAGAGCTTTCGATGTACGCCGCCCAAAATGCCGCATGATCCGGTTTATAACGTCACGCTCACGTGGGATCCCACGCGATCCGGTCCAATCGCGACTAGCCAATAAGTCACCGTCCTCACGCGAGACGCTTTAAGAAGCTCTTCTCATCTCTCTCTCGTACATGGAGAGCTCCTCTCTCTTACCTCTTTTTGGGTAGTTTACCGTACACCCCCCCTAAAACCCAAAACCCTAAAGTCGCTGATCCTTTCCGCACGCCCTGTCCTCAAACCTCATCCTCATCTCAATCTTCCGTCCGTAGATCTCTTGGTTCACCTGGTTATTTCCGAATCCTTTTCTCTTCTGTTACTCATGTTTCCTCGGCTCATTTGGGCTTCTCGTAAATCCACTGATGATTAGAGGTATCTCGCTACTCTCCCTTGAACGATTGTTTCTGACTGTACCTGAGATTCTGCCTCTGTGAATTGTTTGATTTCTGCTTTCGCCGGAATGGAGGGAAACGGCATTTCGAATGGGCGTCTTGCCCTTTTATGCAGTAGATTGGGTGATCTTTGGTCAGAAATTAAAGATTCTGAACTGGAAGGCTCCATTTATCCCGAACATTATGAGGAAGGTCGCATGACTGCACTTGGAAAATTGTTTTCAAACCCTAATGTTAACATTCAGGCACTAATCAGCACTATGCAAAAAGCCTGGAAAGTCCTGCATCTTGATGTCTCTACTATTGGACTTAACACGGGTCTGCTAGCCTTTTAAGTTCAATACTGAAGAAGAAAGAAACAAAATCATTCAAACTGGTCTTTTTCCAGCAACCCTATAGTCCTTAAACCCTGGACCCCAAACACCCCCCCCCCCCCTCTGAGGAACTAGTTTCTCATTTGGTTTAGTTTATGGGGAAAGTTATAGAAGTTAAGGTGGAGAAAAAGGGCTTTGCCTCTCCCAAAATTGGTAAGGTTAAGGTAGAGCTGCACTTGAGTAGTCCTTTACGCCCTGGTACACTTACTAATCTGGGGGGGAAGATTTGGCTTGACTTTAAATACGAGAGGCTGCCTCACTTTTGTTATTCATGTGGCAAACTTGGGCATTATGCTAAAAGCTGTACTGAGGTACCTTTCGATGATGAAAAGTTTGAAGAAGGGGATTATAATCGATTCGAGCATTGGCTTAAGGCAGAAGCACGTGAACCAAGCCCATTTTGGAAGCTTTGTTATGCTGAACATTTCCTTGCTGTTAGAGAAGAAGTGATCCCAGATACCATGGCCCAAAATACTAATTCCATGAATGTTGAAGAAGACAGACAGCTACTTCTCCTTGGTTCTACTGCTCTAATGGATCAGGAGGATTGCGTTATCATGGAGGGAGCTGAGAAATCTCCGGTGCATATTGGAGATCGTATGGCTAAAGGAAAGGGTATTATGGGTTTTCTAGGTGTTTCGCGAGCTAGCTGGACCTGAATGTAGTGAAAAGTGTGGATATGAAGAAACAGAACAGGACCTCTAAGTCCCCTGCTGCAAAGAAACTCAAAAGGTTCAGCTCCAAGAATCCTCACATGAATGATATTATGTCATATGATGAGTCTCTTTTGCATGAAACTCCTATAAGGACTGAGATGGACAATGCTGAATAGGCTTTAGTGGCTAGCCCTAATAAGCCACCGGGTTACAAATGAGAGTACTATGCTGGAACTGTCAAGGGCTGGGCACTTCCTTAACAGTCCAAGCACTGAGGGCAATTATTGCCCAAGATGGGCCCAACGTGGTATTTCTAATGGAGACAAAAAATCAAGAACATGTTGTTCAACTTTTGAAGAGGAAATTAAAATTCAATTCCTACTTTGTTGTGAACCCGATAGGGACTGCTAGGGGACTAGCTTTTTTGTGGAATGATGGCATATCGTTAGATGTTGAACATGCATCAAAGGAGATGATTAACGTCCTATTTTCTGTTCCTAATAATCAGATCCGAATGCGAATTTCCTTCGTACATGCCCCAAATGATTTCAGAGGCAGACCGCTTCTTTGGGATAGATTAAGGCAAGTGAGCAAGATAGATAGCCATCCGTGGGTCTGTATGGATGACTTCAATGAGGTCCTTTATCACTGGGAGGAAAAAGGAAGATGAATGGCGGATAATTATCATTTAGTTGCATTCCAGGATTGTCTAAATGATTGCTCTTTGATGGAAGTAGATTGCAAAGGGTGTGCTTACACGTGAGCTAATAATAGGGAAGGGGCTGATTTTGTGAAGGAAAAACTAGATCGTGTGGCTTACAATTTAAAATGGCATCTTACATTCCTTGGAGCTAAAGCTTTTGCTCTACCTACGGTGGGTTCGGACCATAGTCCTTTGCTGCTTTCTATAGCGGATCAGTCAGTTAAAAAATGTAAGGGATTTAGGTTTGAAGCATTCTGGGTGGAGGATCCTGAATGTCTGAATGTTGTATCAAAAGCTTCGGATTCGGCTGCTAAAGGAGATGAGAAAATAATGGTGAAATAGGAGAGGGTATCTAGAGACTTAATGACATGGAGCAAGCAGAAATTTCCCAACAACTATCGCAGGATAAGGGAGCTGAACCAGGAAATCCAATTCATTACGAATAGTTCGAACTCCTATTTTGATAAGAATAGAATGCAAAGCATTAAACGGGAATTGGAGGATATATGGAGGAGAGAAGATATGTATTGGGGGTTAAGGTCAAGAGTCAACTGACTTAAGTGGTGACAAGAATACGAAGTATTTTCATGTAACTACAATTCAGCGACGTACTAGAAATAGAATAACCATGCTGAAGGGGCTTGACGATGAGTGGATTAGGGAAGAAAAGATTTTGAAGCAGCGAACAGTTGAATACTTTCAAAGCTTGTTTTCCTCAATTGGGCCAAGAGACTTTCACCCGGTAATTGACCACTACCCATGTGCAGTCCACGCCGAAGTTAACATAGAACTTACTGCTCAAGTAACTATGGAGGAAGTTTGGAAGGCAGTTGTTCAGCTTGGAGTAGCTAAAGCACCTGGTCCGGATGGGCTTAATGGTATTTTCTTTAAACACCATTGGGATATCATAAAATGGGATGTGTTTACCACCACTACAAAAAAACATGTTTTTTGCGACGGATTTTGCGACGAAAAAATCGCAAAAATCCGTCGCAAATCATTTTTGCAACGAATTTAGCGACGGAAAAAATTCCGTCGCTACTAGGTCGTCGCAAATTTTTGAGACGGAAAATTTCAATTTTCGTCGCAAATTTGCGATGAAAAAAAAATTCATCGCAAAATTCGTCGCAAAAAATTCGTCGCAAAAATCGTCGCAAATTAGCCACAAACACTATCCGTCGCAAAGTTCGTCGCAAATATTTCGTCGCAAATTAGCCACGAACACTATCCGTCGCAAAGTTCGTCGCAAATATTTCGTCGCAAATTAGCCACGAACACTATCCGTCGCAAAGTTCGTCGCAAACATTTCGTCACAAAATTCGTCGCAAATTAGCCACGAACACTATCCGTCACAAAGTTCGTCGCATATATTTCGTCGCAAAATTCGTCGCAAAAATTGTCGCAAAATCCGTCGCAAAAATCGTCGCAAAATTCGTCGCAAAAGTCATCGCAAAATTTGTCACTAATTTTTCGTCACAAATTTTCATCGTAAAATTCATCGCTAATTTTTCGTCGCAAAATTCGTCGCTAATTTTTCGTCGCAAAATTTGTCGCTAATTTTTCGTCGCAAAATTTGTTGCTAATTTGCCACAAAATTCTTTTTTTTTTGTTAATAATTTGCGACAAACTGATTCGTGGCAAAATTTGTCGCTATTTTGCCACGAACATTATTCGGGAACGAATTTAGTGACGAATTGCCACGAACATTATTCGGGAACAAATTTAGTGACGAATTTTTATTAATTCGTCGCAAATTAGCAACGAATTATAAAAATAGTTACGAATGTGCAACAAAAATTTATTACAGGTTGGCCTCCTCACAACTGGCACAATGCAAATTGTATCTAATCCACGGCTGAAACCTAGTATATTAACCTCTGATATCAAGTACATGAATATTGGCAACAATAGTACATGCTTTAATATAAATTCTTAGTACAGAGCTGAGCTCTCGAGGGAACCCTGAGCTTCATATCCTCGGTGGCCCACCACACCCTCCTCGAGATCTCCCGCCACCCCTTGTACACCCGCACCACCGCGAGCAGCTCCGCCGGCGGCAACCTCCTCAGGACCTCCCACAAGCACCTGGCGGGCAACCCGCCGGCGTCCGCATCCCCGTCCACGAAATCCCGATCCCGCTCGTCGAGATCCGGCTCCACCTCGTCGAAGTCCTCCTCCTCCTCGTCGGCGCGGACGTCGAGGTCGTCGAAGGAGAGCACGCAGCGAATGAGAGCGAGGACGGCGTGAGGGCGACAACGGACGCGGAGGAGGCGGCAGCAGCGGCGGCGTTGACGGGCATGGAGGAGGCCGCGACAGCGGCAGCGGCGGAGGAGGAGTCGGCGGCGGGGGAGGGGGAGGAGCCGGCATGGCAGGAGCGGCCCTTCTTGGAGAGGCCGCAGCGGCCGCAGTTGTAGCTGCCGCGCTTGGCGGTGGCGTCGTCGTCGTCGGAGGAGGCGGCGAGGGAGTCGGAGGGGAGGAGGTGAGGCTGGTGGAGGCGGCGGATCATAGCGGAGGAGCGGCAGAGGAGGCTAGAGAGAGAGAAAGCGGGAGAGAAGTTAGAGAGAGAGAGGGGGAACGCTGTGTTGGTGGGGGAATAAAAAGAGCGAGCGAAGGGGAGACGATGGCGCGAGGGGGGATAGCGCGCGGGTTCCTAAAAATTTTCCACGCGGGTTCGTGAAAATTTTCGATCCGACGCAAATTTGCGACGGAAATAAAATCCGTCGCAAATTTTGCGACGGAAAAAAAATCCTTCGCAAATTTGCGACGGAAAAAAAAAATCCGTCGCAAATTTGCGAC